TCATTTGTATGGAATTGCTATCATATGGTGATAATAAAACGCAGATAGACTTAGTTTTGTTATTACTATTTAATTTTTCTACCAATGACTCACTGCACCTGGGCAGACTACTCCCACCCATCCCTCCCTAGTATACCCATGATGGATTCAATGGCTACTAGGTGCTAGCTACTCTGCGAGACCCTAGAGAGACAGGAGTGAACAAGTCCCTACTCTTGAGGAGCTTACATACTAGTGGAAGAGACAAAGAAATAAACAGGTGAGAATGATCTTAGCTGATAGCAAGTGCTATGCAGAAAATTAAAGAAGGGAGGGGTGACAGCCAGTGACTAGGTGGCAACTTTGGATTGGATGGTTGAGGAAATAGCAGTTATACGGTAATGAAGGAGCCAGCCACGCAAAAACAAGGGGAAGAACATTTCAGAGAGAGGACACAGCTAATACAAAGCCCCTCACCAGTCTGGCTAGGGCACAGTGATCAAGAGCGAGGTTGGTACAAGGGCAAAGAGACAGGTAGGGGCCTTTGTGAACTGCTTGGGAAAAAATGGTAGGGGAGACAGATTTAAGGGGAAAAAACAAGAGTTCTGCTTTGGCCTTTTACATTAAGGTCACCTTTTAGACATGCGAATAAAGACAGCAAACAGGAGTTAGAAATGTGAATCTGGAGTTCAAGGAGTGGTGATGGCATGAGATAGATACAGGCTGGCAAGATCACCAAGGAATGTAAACACAGACCAAGTTCTGGGCACTGACATTTAGAGGTTTAGCAGAAGTGCAAGAGCCAGCAAAGGAGCTGAGAAAGAGAAGCCAATGATGTAGAATGAAAACTAGGCAAGGGTAGGGTCCCAGAGGCCTAGAAAAGAAAGTGTTTCGAGAAGGAGGGAGTCATCAACTGTGTCAAGGCTACTGAGAAGTCATGCAAGATAAAAAGAAAAGTCACTGGGCCTGGAGACATGGAGGCAACTTTAACAAAAGCAATTTCAGTGGGATGGTGGGGGTGGAATGTTGACAGGAGAGGGTAGGAAAAATATGATGTGATGAAGGGGAGATAGTAGATGAAACAACTCAAGAAGATTTACTGTGAAGGAGAGCAGAGAAATGGAGTAGTAGCTGGAAGAGAATACGGGGTTGAGGGAGATCTTTGTTTTTTATTTTTTTATCTTTAAGTGTTTTTTTTCCTCTTCTTCTTCTCCCCAAAGCCCCCGATATATAGTAGTATATTCTAGTTGAAGGTCCTTCTTGCTCTGCTATGTGGGATGCCACCTCAGCATGGCCTGATGAGCAGTGCTAGGTCTGCACCCAGGATCCGAACCGGTGAAACCCTGGGCCGCTGAAGTGGAGTGCGCGAACTTAACTGCTCGGTCACAGGGCCGGCCCCTGTTTTTTATTTTGTTTTTGAAATGGAAGATATTTGTGTGTGGATGTGATAATCTTCTGGGAAAGGAGAAATTGAAGATGGAAAAGAGCAGGGGTACGTGAAAGCAAAAAGGAGGTGAGATCCAGATCACCAGTGGAGGGCGGGCCTTAGAAGTAGATTCATGTGGGTAAAGATGCAGGTAAGCTGGGAGATGTGACAGCGAGAATATGAAGGCAACCTGGTCTGACATCTCCATGGGCCTGGAGCCACAGGCTGAAATGTCTCCTCAATCATAACCAATGGAAATGTGCTATTACCAATGAGAAATGGGAAGTGGAAATATGACCAGTACGGTCATGACTTCAAGCCCAAGTTGCAGCATTTTGCCAAGTGTGACAGAGTGTTGGATGTCTTCTGGTTTTTGGGTGGCCAGGGGTCAAGGCACAAGGCTCAGGAGGAAGCTAACAGAGGATACAGGAAGACACTATCTGACAAATGGTGACGACCTCTGTGAATTCAGTTATGATTTCAATTTGGAACATAAACCAATTTTGGACAGAAACTATACCTCATTCATCAGTGTGGCCCTAAGTCTATTAACTAATTTTAAGCACATACTTTGGGCTAGAGCTGTACTAGTCAGTGGAAACACAGACGAATAAGGCACAACCCCTGCCCACAAGGGGCTGAAAATATTTGAGAAACATTTGCCAAATTAATTTAATTATAAATATAGTAAAGAATTTGGCCTTGCCCAAAGAGAGATCTGGCCTTTGCCCCTGCTCCTGGGTGGTAACCTCTAAACTCTTGGAATTTCCTGAGTGATAGGACTGTCTTTGTTATTCACGGTGGGGGCCCCTCAGACTACATCTGATAGTGTATGATAACCAGAAGACTTATGATGGGCCCCTCAGGCCACAAGGTATTAGCCTGATCTCCAGGGAGTGGGGAGTTGGAGACTGAGTTTAACCAGGTGATCAATCAATCAAGCATGCCTACTGTTAAAAAGGAACAGGGGCCGGCCTGGTGGCACAGCAGTTAAGTGCACACGTTCCACTTCAATGGCCCGGGGTTCGCCGGTTCGATCCTGGGTGTGGACATGGCACTGTATGGCAAGCCATATAAAGTAGAGGAATATGGGCACGGGGTTAGCTCAGGGTCAGTCTTCCTCAGAAAAAAAGAGGACGATTGGCAGATGTTAGCTTAGGGCTAATCTTCCTCGGAAAAAAACAGAAAAGAAACAACAGACCCAAAATGGAGTCCCCTGTGCTAAGGCCCACATCAGCAAACCATGACTTACTACCTAACCTAACTCCAGTTTCAGCCTCTGCCAGGAATATAACCTTAACTGGTCAGTCTGGAATATCCTGGTCAGCAGCAGTGAGGCAATCTGTCTAACAGACCCTCCTTCACTGCCCAAAGAAAGATGAGGTAATTTGCGTTTCCCTTGTCCCTGTCCCCTTCTGTCTATAAAGCCTTTCATTCCGTGCAGCTCTTTGGAGCTCCTTTCTATTTGCTAGACAGGATGCTGCTAGATTCATAAATCATTGAATAAAGTCAATTAGATCTTTAAATTTACTCAGCTGAATTTTGTTTTTTAACACTATGCAATGAAACCTCAATAAGAACCCTGAACATCGAAGCTTGGGTGTGCTTCACTGACTGGCAATATTTCATTGTCATATACAGATGCCAAGAGGGTAACGGGTACTAAGGACAACAGACGCTTTATGTTTGGAACCCTTCCGGACTCTGCCTTACACATCTTCCTCCAGCTTACTTTTGCCCTGTATCCTTTCCTGAAATACATCTGTGAGTACAGCTTTCAGTAAGTTCTACGAGTCCTTTCAGAGAATTATCGAACCTGAGGGTGGTTTTGGGAACTCTGTGAACTTTCTGTTCATGTCAGGAGTGAGGACTGTGCCTTCAGATTTTGTAGTTGGGCTGACTCCAGGTTTCACGTGACCTCAGAATTGAAAGGGATCTAGAGATCATCTAACTCAACTCCATCCCACAGATGAGGAAACAGAAGTCTAGAGAAGGGAGGTGACTTACCCAAGGTCAGATAATGTTATGGCAGAGGGGGACTAGCCCCTGAGAGTCCTGACTCCCAGCATGGTGTGCTTTCCACAATATCCTGTTGTAGCTTCAAATGTGAGGCTGAGCAGAGAAAAGCTTACCCTTGAGCCCGAAGGGTTTTGCAACAAGGGATTTTTGCAGGAGCCCTTAAATTTAGGGAAGGTCATTCCTTACTAGGTTTCCTGCCTTGACTCTGATAGACTTCTCTTTAAAATATTTAAGCTGCAATATTCAATGTTTACAAAGTAAAGAGCTTGTACTAAAGAAGAGCTAATGCTTTCTGTGGGGTAGAAATGATTATTTTGTGAATAATTCTTTGTCTTTCTTTGTTACAGAACTTTTTGTTTTGTTTTGTTTTGCTGAGGAAGATTTGCCCTGAGCTAACATCTGTTGCCAAGCCTCCTCTTTTTGCTTGAGGAAGATTGTCCCTGAGCTAACATCTGTGCCAGTCTTCCTCTATTTTGTATGTGGGTCACCTGCCATAGCATGGCCACCAATGAGTGATGTAGGTCTGCGCCTGGGAACCAAATCTGGGACGCCGAAGCAGAGCATGCCGAACTTAACCACTAGGCCATGGGGCCAGCCCCACTTTTGTTACTGAAATTTCATGCATCAGATTATCATTTTTGTATAATCTAAATTTTATTGCTAGAAGAGATCTTAGTGATTTTTTTGGTTCAACCCTTCATCTTACACATGAAGATGCTGAGGCACAGAAAAAAGGAAGAAATCTACCCAAGGTCACTTGGTGAGTCAGTGGCAAGAACAAGGCTGAACTTGGGTCTCCTGACTCTCAACATAGCCTTCAGTCTCATTCAGAATGACTTTCCTATAGGAGGCCACGAGAGTGTTGCACGTATTTATAAAAGTACTTAAGGGACACTCATAGAATCCCAGAGCAGCCTATTTTTGCTTATCTTGTCTGGGCAGCATCAGGCTCTCTTACTCTGTGATAAATTCTTTAAGCAGCTACCAGGTGTTCTCTGTATCTCTCAAGGTTAAAGGGAAGAAGGGGACTACTTGTCTCTCTTCCTTTAGAGCAGGAATGAGCAATAATCTGCCATCCCATCACTGAGAGAGACAGTGTGGACTAAAAGGCAAGACTAGAACCTAAACATCTTGATTCCAACCGATTCACAAAATCATAAAATCTACTGCAGGCCTGATATTTTTTTTAACCAGGAAAATCTTTTTATCATGTCTAGTTAAGTTCAATATTTAAATAATGGGCTTGTATCTCTAACAAGCAATTAAATTTTATTCTCATAATTACCCTACTGTAACTCTCTACTGTCTAACGTTCCTGAAGTACAGGAACAGATTCTTGCACTTGGTCAGAGGTCCAACTCAGCCCGAACAAGCTATCAGAGATGTGATACCACCAAAGATCTTGCCACTACATTACACAAAAGTTGAGTGGAGAGAAGAGTTTGGGGTTATTTTTGAAAAATGAAATATCTCCTAGATGGGACTAACCTCTGCTCCCCCCTAGAGCCACCACAGTCTAGAGTGGTGGGCTTGGGAATGGTTCTTGGCTCTCCTGTGTCTCCTCCCAGCTGCTTACCTGTGGCTGTTGGGTGGTTAACGGTCTCTGAGGAGACAGGACAGGGGTCCTAGACAGCAGCTGGTTCATCTTGCTGATGACTAGTTCAGTGATGAGTTGTTTGTCCTCCACCTGGTGTTCCCCAATCAGTGGCATGCTACAGTCCATGACCTGGTGGAAGATGTGGCCCAGGTTAGGAAGGGTCTGAAAACATTAAACGCCTAGCACAGTCTTTCAAAAAGACTTAAGCCAGCAGAGATAGGTTGGGAATGAAGCTGATGTTCTTATCTTCAGCTGGAAGCATGTTCCTTTGCAGAAATAGGACCTTTGCCCCTTCCTCCTACAAACCTTTGCTTGGGTCCTTCCTCCCAACCTTCACCCAGGCCAAGGCTCAGTGAGACTAAAAGACTGGTGACGGAAAGTAGTTGGGAGGTAGAGAGCAAGGAGAGGGTACAGCTCCAGGGCTCAGAGTTTGTAGGTCGGGAAAGCAGGAACACATGAAGGTCATTCCCTTAACTCTCTGGTTAGGAGCAGGTAGTTTTCCTCTCTGTGACTTTTCACACACACAATCTCTATCTCCGCACATACTCTGCCCATTAAACAACTAGATTCCTGCCTTTGCTTATGACCTGGGATGCCTTCCTTTTTTTGCCATCAACCTGATTCTTCCTGTACCTCAAGGTCCAGATCAATGTCTTCCTCCTTTAGGAAGTGTCTGCCTGCCCAGGATCATAGACTCTGTAGTCCAACTCTCTCATTTATGGTTGAGAAAATTGAGGCCCATCCATGGAGAGGAGGTATGACCATTCAGAAGGTTACATGCCAAGCAGACCACAGAGTAGATTCCTAAGCCCACTCTGGGCTCCTGACACTAATCCTCTGAAAATACCAACTCCTGGCAAAGAGCCTCTCCTGCTCCCAGGAAGATTGGGCAAGAATATGTGTGAAGAATTCATATTTGATTTTCCTTTTAATACAGGAAAAGGGAGTCACTTAAACTTATGTTAGAGCACCAGGCTGAGTAAAGTGTCTCCAAGGCTCACAGAGATGCTAAGAAGAATCTCCTGCATCCAGGAGACCTGAGTTCTAGCCCAGGTTGAGACACTGATTCACTCTGTGGCCTTGGGCACATGCTCATGGTGTTAGGCCTCCATATTCTCACCTGCAAAATAAGCAGATTGGGCCGAAGGATTCTCAAGGCCAGCTTTCTCAGATCAAGAATGGTAAAATCACTACAGTCTTTCTCGAGGAACAGCATTAGGCTAGAACCCCCAGGAACCCAGATCTGGCATCTTGTACCCTGCTGTGGGTCAGCCTAGCTGGTTGGAAACAACAGCTTCCATTGGCGGAGGTATTTTGCTACCCACTGATTGTGTCATCTGGGAACCTTCCCCTGGCCTGGGAGACTCTAAACTAAATACAGTCTGGTCTGCCCATATGGTTCTTAAGCCAAGAGCTTGGCCTCTAATCTTGGGGGTTGACTCTTATCGAAATACTCCTTGGGCCAGACTTACCTCAAAAATGTAGTCTTTCCCATCTTTGCCATGTACGGCTTTGACAGCACAGATGTCCAGGCCACCAAATATCTCAGAGCAGGTGTCTACCCACAGCTTGTACCTAGAGGGGATGGGAAGGTGTCATGCGCCTGGGGCACTAGCTCACATCAAACCTGCTTGCTGGCTATGCTCTCTTTGCTGCCTCTACCTCTTCCATTCCCCCTCCCTAGCTCTCCTCCCTCCACTTGCATCAAGCACACCTCCTTATCTACAGTACCCCTCCACTTTGCTCTCCAGATCCTACCCATCTTTCCAGGCTTAGAGCAGGTCTCACCTACTCTAGGTGGCCTCCCTTTGCTATTTCAGCCCACAATAATTACTCCTTTCTTGGAGCTTCTATGGTATATCTAGTCTTTATCTCCATAATTTAGCATATAACCCAGTCCCGCCTGATCTTAACTGGCTGCTTGGGGCTCTGTGTTCTATCTGTCCTGTGTGATTAGAGGCTCCATTTGGGGAGTGCTCATTTTTTACACCTCTTCACCTATAGAAGCCTCTCTCTTGCTGGGCTGGGGACTGGATTCCTTCTCTCACTCACCTGTCTGACATGGCGATCTGCTCCAGCATTGCAGAGCCAGTATTTGTCTTCCAGTTCCCTGAGATTGACGTCCTCCTGCAACAAGGTCCCACCAGGAAAGGACAGGCAATGAGCCACACCAGCAAGAGGAGGGCATGCAACTTTACAGAATTTTAACTCACCTCAGCCCAGGGGCCAGTCTGCTGAGCCTAGAGCCTGGCTGCCTCTGCCAAACCTCCACCTGCAATCCTCTCCTCTTCTCTATAAGAGTTCAGCCCAGACTGCTCTGGCTCCATAGAGCCTTCCCTGATTTTTTCAACTAGATGAACACTTGCTCTCCTTAGAACCCTTATAGGACTTTGCCTGTAACTCACTTCAATCCTGCAACTATTTTTCACTTTAGTTATTTCAGCTAAGTCTTCTGTCTGTAAATCTGTAAAGCACTTGAGGATATATATTGCATCTTGTATTCCCAGAAGCCTACCCACTTAATATCTGGGCTGACTTGGTATATACAAACTGAATTCTACTGATCCGGGGAACACACTAGGGTTCTTGTGACTATCTCCCAATGGCTTCCTCACTAGCTCACTTATTCATTCAACAGTCAATTTCTGAGGCCTATAGTACTAGCAGTATGACTCTGGACAAGTTAGTTACGCTCTTCAGGCTTAAGCTGCCTCATACATCAAATGGAGCTGATGGAATCAAGTCACCAACCTCTTCTCTGCCATACCCTCTACACCCTCCATCCATGAGCATGTGCTAAAGTCAACTAGTCTTGGACTAAATAGGAGGCAGATGACCTGGTTTCTGGTTCTGGATTTACTCTTGACTGGTTGGGTGAGCTTGGGCAAAACACTTCACTTCTCTGAACCTCTCTTATTCCTGTGTAACCACAGGGTTGTCATGAGGACCAAATTGATACAGTTTTAAATAAACTGTAAAACACCAAAAATATGTCTTTTTAATTATTAGTCTTCACTTAGACACAGTCAAGAGAAAGGGGATAGCCTAGGGGACAGAAAACCCCTGCTCACACCACTGATGAGCCCTTCAGTGCCATCCTTATTAATGACTACTGATTGGAGATTGGATATGCTTGTCTCCACTCAGCAGTTCCCAGGAGTAACCTCCCCAGAGATCTGATTTCAGACACTGAGAAACCTAGACATAAAGCTAGTTTTTCAGAGCCCTAAGGCAGCCCAGTGAGTCAACAGCTGCGGTAATAACAACTCTGCACACTTGTACAGTACTGACTGCTTTCCAAGGTGCTTCCTCTCGAAAGCCCTCACCATAGCCTCATTGCAAACCCCCCACCATAGCCTTGTTGTAAACCCCCAGTTGTGAGTAGGCTGGGATTCTCGCCTCCGCTTCACAGACAAGGCAATTAAGATTCACAAGTTTAGATGACTTGTCCAAGAGTGTATATCTAGTCAAAGTAAATATGAGATAAAAATCCAGGACTCTTGGTTCCCTCATTGTGCTTATACTTTCTCCTAAACCCCACTACCTAGGTGAGAAAAAACAAACTAAGAGCTGAGTGGCTTGCAAAATCCTAATAGAAATACAAAGACAGATCACAATAAAAATAACACCATGTTCCTAACACTGGTGGTTTACAAGTGTGTCCCTGTGACCAGGCTGGGCTCCTCAAGGGCAGGGATAGAGAGTCACTCACTTCCATGTCCCGAGCACAGGGTCATGGTACATAACGGGGTCTCAGAAACTTTGAGTGAGTAGTAATAATGTCCCTTACACTTCACATCTTTCTCTAACAATGGGATGCAGGGCACAGATCCATACAACGGGCTACCTAGGGGCACATGGGAGGAGAAGGGACACTGAGAAGGCACTCGGTGACAGCCTGGCTGCCTCTCAGGACTTGTAGGTCATCTGGCCTCCACAGAGGGACACACATTATTCCCTACAGAGAGGGGAGCAGGAATAGCACCTTCTTTCCACCAAAAGTAGCTGTCTCTGGATTTCTAAGGTGAGAGAAGGGAGAGAAGGGAAGAATCTCAAACCTTATCTTGGCTATTGCCAGTTCACTTCCTTCTTCTGAGAGCAAGGGAATGGCCAAAAGTTTGGGGAAAAGGAGCTGGGAGGATTGAAACATTCCCCAAATAACCGACTGTTGCTTGCAAATAAAAAAGTAAGTAAATGTTTTCTAAAGCTGCTCTGGTCGCTCACCTTTCATCAATGTTTGGGGATTCTCTTTTCTGATGCTTTGTTTAAATTGTTTTTGGAAGCCCTAATCATTAAAAATGCGGTGTCGGGGCTGGCCCCGTGGCCGAGTGGTTAAGTTCGCGCGCTCTGCTGCAGGCGGCCCAGTGTTTCGTTGGTTCGAATCCTGGGCCCGGACATGGCACTGCTCATCAAACCACGCTGAGGCAGCGTCCCACATGCCACAACTAGAAGGACCCACAACGAAGAATATACAACTATGTACTGGGGGGCTTTGGGGAGAAAAAGGAAAAATAAAATCTTTAAAAAAAAAAAAAATGCGGTGTCTCCTTTTAAGTATCAAGACACTCTTGTTTCACTGTCATAAATGTTTTGTGTTTATCTAGGGGATTTTAAAATCAAAGGATAAGAAATCTGTTTCCCTAGGTGCCTGAACATATCGAGTTTTCTGCTTCTTTTAGCTAGGTTTTGTAATGGTCTTTTAAACTATCCTGTCTTACATTGTGCCTAATTTAAAAGCAACTCTGAATTCCTTTCGGAAGCAGAAAGACTATAAATAAAAATATATAAAGTTTTTGAAAGTAGGAATCTAGTCAATAAAGGTAAAAAAGATTCTATGCCTCAATTCTCTACAAGGGCTCTTCCTTGAATACTTATTGGGTGCCTATGACGCGCCTGCTGCTGCACAAGGTAGTGGGGCTACAGAGATGGTTCCATCATTCTTGCCCAGAGAGCTCAAAGGAGAGAGATACGGACTCACATGTGCGAAAAGGGTGTGTGAATTGGAAGTGTGTGAAGGTTTTCAAGAAGGGAGTGTAGGAAGGGGGTCCTAATTAACTCCAGGGGTGGGGAGTATAAGCACTAAAATAGGGATGAGGGAAACAGATGGGTAAGGGAAAGGGCAGCTGCTCATCCCTGAAGTCTGCTGAAGTTATGAGTGGCAAAGGTCAAATTCGTATAATATAATGTCGTTTCTTTGTAAAGAAAGCACTACCTTAAAATTTTTAAGAAGTAGTAGGTTACTATTTCCAAAATTGGAATTGTAAGCCATCTGCATTCTTATGTATATTATGGTAGATCAGGCAGTCCTGAAATCTTTCCTTTTTCTAAATTCTAATGGAGGAAACCTTTAACTTTCCATTCTGGCAAATGGACCCAGTTATGTGGAGAAGTCATCTATTCCCATAACCACTAGGCTTTTAATGCTCTGTAGTGTTTTCAGCGCTATCTATTTACATCAGGAGTTTCTTGACTTTTTCTGTGCTCTGGCAGCCTGGTGATGCTTGTGGATTCTTTTTAATGTATAAAATATATAAGATGTGTAAATGTATAAAGTACATAGGACAACAAAGGAACTCAATTTGTTTAAAAGAATTATCAAAATAGAGTCATCAAAATATTAAACAAATCTGTGATTAGTAAAAAATATGTTTCTTTGTAAATAACAAATGAATTTACAGTTGTAAATGTAGCTGCAGGTCTAACAACTACCATGATTCTTAAGTAATGACAAAAGTAATTGGTATTTAGAGATATCTGTCATAACTGTAGTGTGATAACAAAAATCTCTATGATTACCTTTAGCGACAAGGTCAGATGTGCTGCTGCTAGTATTGTAGACTGTTGTCTCTGTTCATAACTGAGGAGAATGCCAAATTTCACTTAGAGGCTAGTGAAAATAAATATTAATTTTATTTTTCATCATAGTTCATGGACCCCTCCTCTGACTTGAAAGGAATCCAGGCTAATACTTCCTGGCTTGAATGGCACCCTCACTCTGTTCTTTGCCTTGTAGGCCAGATGAAGTTAAACTGAGAGTTGGCTGCTACCCGGAGGCTCCAATTCTCCACTGGGCTGAGGAGAAAGTAAAGAGTATCTGCTGGGACCCCACTCCCACTCACATGTAAGCCTTGTAGTTGTTGCCTATCTTCTGTACCCGGATGTCATACTTGGCGTCGATGAAAGGCTCTGCTGTGGCGTAGGTCTGGGTGAGGGCCACCACACTAGCAATGTCCTGGAAGTCATAGTGGTTTTCAACTTTGACCTAATTGGAACAAGGTAGAGGGAGAAAGGGAGATACACACATACACACACTGAGAGTCACATAAGCAGTGAGCCTCTAAACCCATCAAGGTATTTCCCATCCAGATGTAAACCTAGGTGCCACATCTCCCTACGAGGCCCCTTCTATCTGGCTCCCTTTCCAGGGCTCAGGAGCCACACTTGCTGCAAAGGCCCAAAGGACCAAGCTGGTGGCCTGCACTCTGCTTTTAGAAAGAGGCCTGTTTAGGAAACACTCATGACTTCAGAGGGGCCAAATCATCTTCTCCTTGGAAAGAATTCATCAGTAACAGAGGGAGCACAGTCCATAAGCAGGCTCTCTGAAAAGTGCCCTTCTTGGCCTCAACCCTAAAGCACAGCAGGCCTGGCCTTACCTTGCCCATGCCGGAGTGAGCATGACCGATCTTCACCACCACAGGGAATGTGGGCAGTGTCAGCTGAAAGGAGAGGAGAAGGGAATGAATCAGTCAGAGTGAGCCTGTTTCCCTGTGAAATCTTACAAAGATTTTCCTTGGGAACACCCTAGAAAGGGCCCTTTAAAGAACTAGTCCCACCTACTGCTTTACAAATTAAAAAAACTGAGGCCCAAAGAATGACAGTGATTTGCCTAAGGTCACTGCATATTAGTGACAGAGCTTAAGAACCCTTCTCTCCTACTTGGTACTCTCTACGTCTTTAAAACTCCTTGCTTCAATCTTCTCTGCATTAGACAAACCCTGGGCAGGAATGGCCCTTGGCCAAAAAGAATTAAAAAAAAAAAAAAAAGCATCTTTGAAAGGGTGAATTTTAGTGTATGTAAATCGTACCTTAGTAAACCTGAATTCAAAAAGAAATGTATTTTTGGAATCCTAATGTCCCTTTTGTCATGTACCTCTTAGTACTCTCCCCTCCCCCTTCAAATGTCCAGCTTTTCTGTACTGAATCTGGCTTTTCTCCCCATCTTTCATACTCTCTTCATTATTTACCAACACCCAAACTCACCACCAAACACAGTTTAGTATGCTAAGGCCTGTTTCTGCCCAGCTTACGGTTTGGAAGAGAGCTGACATAAAAATGTAACATGTTTATCATTTGAAAGAAATCCTTAAGAGAGTAAACTCTACCTTGAAGTAGCCATATTTTAAAAGAGGAATAATAAAAACTTAAAAGAAGAACTACCCTCTAAAGGCAGAATGTCAAACTGTTACAAAGTGGTGACGTAAGAAGCAACACGGTGGAGTGGAAGGAACACTAGACGTGCATCCTAGTCCTCTCGGCCATCCACTTTCTGCAAGTGATTCTACCTCACTGAGCCTCAGTCTTCACATACGCCGAATGAGGAGACTGGACTGCACTGGATGCTTTTCAACATTCTGTCCAAGAATACATCAGACTCTATCTTGGTCTGGGTGTTGTATGAACCACCAACCTGGACACCAAATCTCCTATTTCTCAGTCAGGCTCAGCTCTCTTTCAGTTTCCTTCTTTTCAAACATCACTACTACATCAAAATTAAAAGATGTCTTCTGAAGGAAATAATGTTGACTCTGATGAAAAGTCAGATCCCCAGGGGAATCCTAAGTATGACCAGATCCTCAGAGGACCTGACCTAGAATTTCGGCATTCCTGGCTGAGGCCAGTTGAGGCTGGGGCAAAGAGCGTCAAAGGTCCTTGGAAATCATGTAGTTCCACCTTATTTTATGGAGAAAAAAGTGAGGCCCAGAGAGGAAAAGGTTGCAAAGCTACCTAGTGACAGAATCAGCACTCAGCTTCCTACCTTGAGTCCAATACTGTGTGGGAACATCCTACAACAATAATTCCATGGATCTCTTTCTATTTGGAGCCTTGGAGTACTGTGCTCTGACAGAGGGGACAAGCTTCCAGCTGCAGTGACCCCATGAGGCTTGTTTCTTTGTTTTCTAAGTTGCCCCACCTTCTATTACAAGACATAGTCTCTCCAGTGAGTATTGACATGAGACAGGAAATCAGTGTTGCCTAAGGTTCTGGAGAGGGCCTTGAAGTCCCAAGTTTGCCCTAAGTGACGGGATACCCTGTGTTTTGAGTCCCCACCAAGAGCACTGTCCTCACCATCTGCAGAGTCCAAGGCTCTGGGTATGGGAAAGGGTTTCTAAAGCACTGGTTGCTTTCTGACATCGCTCCCCACCCCCCAGCTGACAGAGCCAAGACACACACACACCCCAACTTTCTCTGTCCTATTCCATTACTGTTTGCTGTTGCTTTGGAGCCTCATAAATAGGGCATTGAAAACACTTCCTGAAGCTGAAAGAAGCCCTGAGTAGCTTGTCTCATTCCCAGTGTGCAGCTCAGCAAGGGGTCCATCCTTCTCTGTCACTGTCTCTTTTGCCTGTTGTAATTCTGTCTGCCTCTCTCTGACTCTCCCTGTCTCACTCTTTGTGTTTGTGCCTCTCCTCACTCTTGTTCCTTCTGAAAAATCACATTCCCTCGGTCTTTCTGCCCTCATGCATTTGTCTTTGCTGTTGTTCTGTCGTGACACTTTCCCCTTTCCCAGTGCCTTCCCTCTACTTCTAGAAGGCTTAATTGCTCAGGCAAGGAAATAGGGGCCAGGGGCTTCTCTCCTGGCTTTCCTCTTCATCTCACTGAGCCTGCCGGCCAGGAGGGTAGCTGCTCCTGCAGCCTCGGGTGGCCTGCAGCCAAAGGAGGGCGGAGCCCATCTGGGCGGGATTGGCCCTAGGTCCACCTCATAAAGCCTGGGGCGAGGGGCGCGACGCGTTCTGAAAGAGCCCTGGAGGGGCTGTTTGGTCCAACAGATCCCATAGGCTCAGTCGGGGCTCTGCAGTGTCATGCCCCGGAGCCCCCGGACAGCGCCGAGCTGGGCGCTGTTGCTGCGGCTGTTGGCACTGCTGCGGCCGCCAGGGCTGGGCGAGGCGTGCAGCTGCGCCCCCGCGCACCCCCAGCGGCACGTCTGCCACTCGGCGCTTGGTGAGTCCGGAGGCCCGTGAGGTCCACAGCAGGGGGTGGCTGTGTAGGATTGGTATGGGGCTGAGCTGTAGACCTGGAGTCTGGAGGGATAGGGAGGAGCTCAAATCCCGCACCAGTTGCCTCCTGCTGGGGCTGATGGGTCGGGCAGGACAGGCGCAATAGCAACCTTGCAAGCGCAGAGCCCGGCTGACTTGGAAGGAAATGAAGACTGCGTAAGGGGCCTCCATAGCGACCCCCTCATCCCTGCCTACTGCAATTATGGAGTGTCACTGAAAAACAAGTCACTGGAACTACCCCGTGATTATTCTGAACTATTGGATGGCTGAAAGGGGGAGTGAGGGGCCAGGAGGTTGGCTTTCATTACAAACATGCCTCTGTGTCTAAGCTTACAACTGAGGTTGCCACCACGCCCCTAGCCCAACACACGCTTTTTGCCCTTTCTCTTCCTTCTGCCTGGGATGCCCTTCCTCTACACCCTTAAATTCCTATTCATCCTTCAAGGTCTTACTCAGGTATCTCTTCTGAAGGCTCCCTGACTCTTTGGTGCTACCACAGCACCCCTAACATCTTTGTGCTCCTACTATACTGTTGCTGTTGTTCTTTGCGTGTTCTCCACTAGATCAAGAATTCTGCAGGATGGGGGATCCTGTCTTAATTATGTTTACGGGCCTAGTACCTGGTATTAGGCCAGGCACAGAGGAAGAACTTCATAAACAGTTTTTGATTAATGCCCAAATGGCGAGAGATGAACTACCTCTGTGCAGGGTCGGGACATTTATTAATTCAACAAACATGTACTAACATCAACTCTGGGTAGGCTCTGTTTGAGGCCTCGGGCTACATCAGATGACCACACACTGACTGCCCTCAAGGGGCTCCTTCTCCCTCCTCTACCCTGATGCCCATCTCCACCCCACTGCACCCTGGGCTACAGAGAACTAGACTCTCAAAATTAGCAGGTAAAGCATAGAGACTATAGGACCTAACAGACGTAAGGAGTTTCCAGGTCTCCACTCTCACATACATCGTCCTCCTCACAACCCAATAAGACCTAAACCCAGAATTCCCCTACAAAATCATCCAGGGGTCCCAGGTCAGCCAGATCGCAGATGGACTGCTCCCACAGGTTGCTGAAAGTTCCCTCTTTTCTCTTCCTATGCAGCAATCCGGGCCAAAATCTCCAGTGAGAAGGTAGTTCCTGCCAGTGCAAATCCTGCTGACACTCAAAAAATGATCCGGTATGAAATCAAACAAATAAAGGTACATGGGGACAGGACAGGGCGTTTACCCCCTTGGGCTGTTGGGAGGAGTGGGGTCTGTGTTCTGGGAGGGGTGGGGCTGATAGGTCAGGCTATCCAGCTTAGTGATTTTGGGATATAGATGCTGAAGTGGAAGTGGATGACATGCTGGGACCACAGAATCCTAGTGACAGTGCAAGACAGGCCCTCAATGTCCATCTAGTCCTACAGCTGCCTGTGCATGGGGCTACAATAGGTACCTCCCCTCTCACTGGAATAAACCAAGGTTTAGATTTTTTTAAAGAGAGAAATGACCTAGTTGGGCCATCTGTGTGCTCCAAATCCTGAACTAGACTTTTACTTAATTTTTTTAGGTTGAGAAATAAGTTTTTCCTCTAAGATATAAAGTACACTCGCTGACCCAGTACTGCTTTTTGGTAATTGCCTTTCAGATGTTTAAAGGGTTTGAGAAAGTCAAGGATGTTCAGTATATCTATACACCTTTTGATTCCTCCCTGTGTGGTGTGAAACTAGAAGCCAACAGCCAGAAGCAGTATCTCTTGACCGGTAAGTTAAAGACCAGCAAGTGGCCCTAATAGTCTCTGTCCTAAGGCAGACAGCCAAGGAGAAGCCAAGGCTGTCCCTGAGTGGTAAGCTGAGCCAGGTGGCATTTTCTTGGGCATAAAGCAGAGCTGTGTGACTAAGAGGCAGCCTCTGATTTGGGAGGAGCCTTGGTAACCTCCCTTTCAATGTGAGTCCTCATTACAGTGATCTTGGCTGCTGCTTCACTATTTTAAGGACAGGCTGCTCTCCCAGCCTAGGACAGCTGGTTCCATTTGCAAACAGTTTTAATTGGTATAAGATTTTTGGTATCTGGAGCCAAAATCTTCCCCTCTGAAAATGCCCTTTGTGGGTTCACTCCTGCCCTCTGTTCTATGATGATCCTTCAGAGGCCTGAGGATGACAGATACTTGCACTCTAGCTCCAGGTCTGCTGGTCCTGGGTCCCAGACTCCTTCCTACTCTGGCCACCTTCTCAAATGGGATATAGCCTGTCCCTATCCCTCACCTAGCATAGGACCTTGAACTGGATGCAACACTACAGATGAGGTCTTAGTTTCACAGAGTAAAGGAGGATTGTAGTGTGCAACACCCCCACTCCCAACACACACATTATAGTTACTGTAGCCTATGACAGCATTAGTATTAGACAGCAACATTGGGTCACACTCTTGGCTCATAGTGAACCTGTGTGGCTAA